AATGATGAAAAGTAATCAAAAATGATGAAAAGTAATTAAAAATGATGAAAAGTAATCAGAAAATGATGAAAAGTAATCAGAAAATGATGAAAAGTAATTAAAAATTGATGAAAAGTAATAAAAAATAATGAAAAGTAATAAAAAATGATAAAAAGTAATCAGAAAATGATGAAATGTAATCAAAAATGATGAAAAATAATTGGAAAATGATGAAAAGAAATCGAAAATGATGAGAAGTAATTAAAATAATGAAAAGTAATTTTTTTAGAAGAATTCTTATTATATGAATATTTTTGAATATTTTGTATTTATCAATTATTTTTGAAATTAACAATTTTTATGTTATTACTGTAACAATATTATTTATTATATAAGAAAAAAATTTTAATTTTACTATATTTTATTAATAAAATTATATTTATATTCATAATTTTGTTGATTACTATATATAATCAACTATAAAAAGTTTTTATAATTACTTTATAATGATAAAATTTTTTCTTAGTTTATTAATAAATTTAGATAAAAAAATATTTATAATATAATATTTTTATATTTACAATGGCAATCAAAAATAATATAATAATATAATAAAATATGAGTTTTTCTCTTTATATAAAATTTTTCAATTTTATTAATAAATATTTTTTATTTTTATATTAAAATAAAATAATATTTTAACATATAGTAACAATTAGAAATAATGTAATAATATTAAAATTTATTAATTAAATATAATAAAATATGAATTTTTCTTTTTATATAAATATTTTCAATTTTACTAATAAATAATTTTATTTTTTATATTAATGAAAATAATATCACATATTTTAACATATATTTTTTTAGATTTTCAGATTTAATCTGATAAAGTTATTCTAATTGCATATAAAGTCAATTATTTTTTATAATTAAAATATATAAAAAAATAATTGACTTTATATGCAATTAGAACAGCTTTATCAGATTAAATATGAAAAATCTGAAAAAAATATATGTTAAAATATGTAATACTATCTTCATTTTAATGTAAAAATAAAAAATATTTATTAGTAAAATTGAAAACTTTTATATAAAGAGAAAAATTTATATTTTACTATGTTTAATTAATGAATTTTAATGTCATTTCATTATTTCTGATTGCCACTGTATATTTTTTAGATTTAATCTAATCAAGTTGTCTAATTATATATAAAGTTATAATTTTTTTATATGTTTTAATTATAACAAAATTATTGACTTTATATATAATTAGAACAACTTGATCAGATTAAATCTAAAAAATCTGAAAGAATTATATGTTGAAATATTATTTTCATTTTAATATAAAAATAAAAAATATTTATTAGTAAAATTCAAAACTTTTATATAAAAAGAAAAACCCGTATTTTACTATGCTGCTGTTGCATTATTTTGATTACCACTGTGAATGTAAAAAAAATTAAATTTTTCTATATCACTTTCGAGAATGATATCTTTGCATTGGACATTATTATATCTATGAAAGGTGATCTGAAGTGAATCTTTCTTTTTATTGGAGTAATAGTTATAAATAATTAAAGTCTTGCATGGGAGTTGGATTTCGAGAACAAACTACCTATGGCATATTTTAATATCATAATCAAACTATGATAAATAGTGAATTGAGAACAACATATAAAATAAATTGGCAAACACCATCAATTAAGCTATGAAAATTTATTGCGAGTTCACTAAGACATTTCGAGTAATATAATTAACTCATAATTTTTCCATAATAAAAATACGATAAAACTGATAAAAATATAAAATCAAAATTTTTAATTAAGTTACAAACAAATATTAAAGAGCCAACATTTCCATATTCTTTTCTATTTATATTCCGAGAAATATTTCGCACAATCGTTTTTCTCTTCTTTTCCAAACGGTTTTACAATGTCCGAATATCTTTTAATAGAAGGGTCAAGAGAGCCTCTTACTGCTGATATAGAAGAGCCAAAACATGAAGCTCTTGCTACTGAACGAAACGCTGAAACTCTGACGTATTTCTCGCCTGCTGTTGATGGTTTGAACGAAATTTGTAATTGTTTTCAATGCAATGGGACTGATAATATTTATTGAATTTCTTTTAGTAAGAAAGATGACGAATAAAGATAGTATTGTTTATGGTGATGATAATTTGTGTTTTTGTCTTAATACTTTGTCGCAAATATAAAATAATTTATTTTTTAGTCAATCTTTCTTTGTACGTAGTTATAAAAATTATAGCTTAGTCATCAGGTTAGTATTTCAAGTATTTTATTGTAAACATTGTTGTTCACTCACGAACTACTATTTCTCTTGTAGTGGCGAAACTCGAAAAGAAGACCAACAAGAAACATATATCATCCTCGAACACTGCTGCGGCAAATTTTTGGTAATGAGCTTTACTCTAAAGATTTAGAAATAGCATGGTATCGATTTTCTTTTTATCGTTCAATCAATCTACGTACCAGAAAAGATTGACGCTGATAAAGTTAATGCTCGCTTCGATCAAGAAGTCCTTGAATCAGGGTATGTTGATGATGACGATTAAAAGTAAATAAATCTTTAATTCATTTTGTTTTTTAATATAGCTTCCTGTTATCGAACAATTTGCAACGACAATCACTATTCAATAATCATATCGATAATAATCGTAATGTGCGTTTTGCTCTTGTTAGGCTTAATACGGTGTATTTATATAACGATAATACTTCTGTTTGATTATTGCCTTATAATTATACCTTCTAAATTTTTTTCTTATTTGATAACAAATAAATCGTGAATTTAAACCGATTCTCTAAGTGTATCTAAGGTTCTTAATATTTACGCTACACGCGTTTTTATAGAAGTAACATTTAATCATGAAATTACTATCTTTTGTGTTGTTAATTACTAAAAAAAAGAGAAATCAAAGCAGTTCTTAACGCTAATACATTAATACATGTATGTCGCTTGAATAGTGAAATTTTTGCTAGAATACATCCATGAAATTTCACACTATGTAATAACCGAAAAGCTAAGAATAATGGATACAATCTTAAACTAACCAATTACGTCTCGTAACATCTTACTATGGTGCATAACATCTAAAGTCATCAAACGTTTGTATTTATAAAATTTATAAACTTCTTTACTAAGAAGTAAATACCAAATTTAATCCGTGAATATGCTCAGAAAGAACCTATTCTATCATATTAATGTATTAAATTTTATATTTACTTCTTAGTAAAGATGTTTATACATTTAATAAAAATACAAACATTTGATGACTTTAAAAGTTATAAGAGAAAAATTTCAAATTTACTATATTTTATTAATAAAATCACATGCATGATTCATAATTTTGTTAGTCACTATATACATAATCAACTATAAAAGGTTTATAATCACTTTAATTACTAATAATGATAAAATTGTTTCTTATTTTATTAATAAAAAAATATTTATAATATAATAAATTTCATATACAGCTTACAGGAAACCATATAAACACGTGAAATGTCCTGACCTCGCTTTGTTCCTATTTTTCTGAGCAAAAAAATTCGGCTATACCTGTGCATCTAAAGCTTCTTTGTAAGCGGATGTCCTAGTAATGAAAACATTTTTAATTTGTTTCTACTCCGATTCCTACATGTACTATACTTGAACATCTATTTGAAAATTTCGCAATACATACGTACATTGTTTTTCTGTGACTATGGTGTATAAAATCTAAAGTCATCAAACGATTGTCTTTTATAAAATGGATAAACTTCTTTATTAAGAAGTAAATACAAACTTTAATCCGTGAATATGCTCAGAAAAGACCTATTCTATCATATTCACGGATTAAATTTTGTATTTACTTCTTAGTAAAGAAGTTTATACATTTTACAAAATACAAACGTTTGATGACTTTAGATTTATGCACCATAGCATAATTCTTCACGGGACACCATGATCCATTACTTTCAATTTGAGAAAATGGAACAAACCATTTATGACTTTTATCACAACTCCAAGGTAAACATGTTCTACGATTAATATATATATTAGATAAACACTCCCCCTTTAGATTCATAACGGCAATATGGGCACCATGAATGACGATTTCTAATATGACGAAATTGAGCAGACCATTGATGTTTTTATTACATTCCCAGAACATTAAGGTTTCATTATTACGTAATATACTCTTTGGAAAGGCAGTTTCCACCACGAGATTCAGCTATTTTTATTGCATCACTTAAAGATAACTTTTTTAGTCATTATAGGTAACGATTGTATTGTTTTCTAATAATTATCTTCTTCTAATTCTTGTTTATAATAATTGAATCAAGTACAAATGGACATTAAAAAAATAAAATAACATTTACTCTCCTACAGTTCCATTCTTAGGGCTGGTAACTTTTTCCGTCAATTTATAATTTATTGTTATATATAATCGATTTAAATTTGTCTTTATATACAATAAATAGAATATATAGACATAATTAACTTATCTTTTTAAAAAGGATTAGCTAATCCATCACGCAAATTCATGGAATCACTTTCTCTGTATGCACGTAAGGTTTTGGGTCCAGTAGGTGCGGTACCATACCATGTAAAACGAAAACATTTGTAAGTTAAAAATATCCTGTTAATTATCATTATAAAGTTGAATGGTTACGATAATCTAATAAAGAGTGTGTGGAAATTAAAGAAGCTTTTGAATGAATGGATCCATGTTGAAAAATTTATCAATGTTGAAGATCTTGCAAAAGGAGGGTTTGGAACAATTTATAAGTCAAATTGGTTTGGTTGGACGGACCATTGAATCAGTGGAATCATCAAATAAATGAATTTATATGATCTATGTAACAAAGTTGTGTTAAATCATTAAATGAGGTAAAAATGAATAATTTTAAAGTGTGGGCAAGCTGTTTTTTTATCTTTTAATTTTATTAAGTTTATAAAAATAGATCCGGGCTGCTCTAAAGTGCAGTATAGTTTCAATTATTATGTAATAAATATTCGATAGTTATAAAAGATAGCGATCTTTGCAAATACGTATATCAATTCCAACTACGAAGATTTTGATTTGGAATAAAAATTAATTAAGATATTTAGTTGATATTCTCTATGAGTTGGGTTGCGTAAAATTCATCATATTAATGTCGGGTATTAATGCGCTAATTGTTGATTTTGGGCTTACCGTTACTGGTCCAGCTAATAAATCTAATCAATAAATTTGCGGTGTACGTACTTCCTTATGTTAGTTCAGAAGTGCTAAAGGGAAATCCATACACACAAGTTGCAGATATTTATAGTTTTTGGATGGTTATGTACGAGATTGCAACAGATGAACGACCATTTGGTGAGCAATGATAATATTGTATTAGGCATCTGTAATGGAATACGACCTACAATGCCAATTAATGTTCCCTGAGGAACTTTACCACTTTATCAGCTCTATCATCGATATTGAATCGTATGTTGAGGAATGGAAACTGAATATTTTGCATCTTCAGCACTATCTAAAGAAATTAAAGAGTATCTTAAATTAGAAATACAAAAATTAAGTGAGCTTGGCGAGAAAAAAACAAAAATGCAGTTTACACCAGTCGAATCTTTACTAGAGAGCTAATTTCAATTTCGAATGAAACATGTATACATTTATTTCTAAATAGAATTATTATGACACGTGAATCAAGAATTTATTTTGATTATTTAGATACTAAATGTGTTTGTTTGTTCCAAGTGAAGGTATGATCATTTAATATAACTTTTCAGAAATTGGATATAGATATTAATGCTGAATCTGCGAGTATCAGTCTGTAGATTCCAAATGAAGATAAACCCACTATTTATAGTATTGTTTCATTAGCGTTAGTTCATTAGGCACTATTTTTTCTGGTGGTGCAAAATAAATTTTGATCCTAGCTGTATACTGGATGAAATTAAAGAGAATGAGTGTTTTACAAGAAAATCTACCGCTACAAATTCACGATTGTAATAAATGCACCAATTGTCAAGAAAATTACTACTGTTATGAATGCGCAAAATTCAATTCATTCTTCAAATTGATCCCATTCGAAGATTTATCAATATTGAATATCTTGCGAAAGGAGGTTTTGAAAAATTTATAAAGCAACCTGACCTAGTTGAACGGACCATTGATACACACGTGGATTCATGAAGAAAATAAATCTAGACAATATTGGGAATGCGAAGTTGTGTTGAAATCACTAATGATTCAAAAAGAGGTAAAAAGGAACAATTTCATGTAAGCAAGATGTTTTTTTTATTTGCTGCTCTAAAGTGCAATGATGGATGGCATTATTATTTACTAAAAACCCAGCTCAATGAATACTCTCAGGAGTCATGGTTAATAATACTTGACGATGACGAAACCTTTCGTCACGACCATTTTGAAAATAATACCCTATCCATGGCAAAAAAAGGGTCGGATCATGTGATATTTGTGTATGTCCAGAAAAATTCTACGGTAATAGAGATTATTATTAAAGGTTAATCTAAAGGTTAGAATTAGGTTAGGGTTAGAGCTGGGGTCAAGACTATATGTAAATTGGTTAAGGTTAGAGCTGAGGATAAGATTATATGTAAAATTGCTTTTCCGACATTTTTTATTAATACTTCAAGCTAGATTTTGACATCTTTTTTCCGCATTTTTATTTTCTTGTGTCAAAGGCCACGTGATTCAGCACTGTCCGTAGACTTCTCGTTTTTTTGCCATGGATAGGGTACTATTTTGTAAATTTCTGATGAATGACGAAACCTATGACGACCAATAAAATACTACGTATCTCGTAACTCACTATTCCTGATGATGATAACCATTTTTGGAAATGAATGCGCAAAATCCATATTTAAATATCAATACGTAATACATACCTTTGGAAATGACGATTTTGGCAAACTAATCATAAGAACAATAGGTCAAGTCAAGCTTTATCGGTTTATTTTTTGCATAATATTTACCATATATATATTTAAAATTATACACTTTTCTCAAGTTTTCATAATGCTGGCCAAAATTCAGCATAATTTTGATTGTTCATGGCCTTCAACCAATCAAACACATGTACTAGATTCTAATGACAACCGGTAACATTCTTTTAAATTCGGAATAGGATTGTACATGTGATTAAGCTATTATTTTGATTGGTCAGAAGATTTCGTCACAGGTTTCATCATGGGTTTCGTCCGACGAATGACTTCGTCATTATAAAAATAGTTTCGTCAGGTATCATTGGTCATGGTATATGCAAAATATGGTGATATATTGATTCCAACTACGAAAAATTGAAATATCAAGATATGCTTTATGGTTTGCGTAAAATTCACAAAAAGGGATTTTTGCGTCATGACTTTCGCTCTGAGAATATAATGTTTCAAGTATATCCAAGTTTGGACTTACCAGCCCAGCAAACATAAAGAATCCAACAAATTTGCAGAGTATATGAGTCCAGAGGTATTAAATGGAAAGACATTATAATTTTGGATTATGCAGAAGCTGTCTATTATTGTTATGACTATTCTAGTAACAAAGACTATTTACTTTATATTATT